CTGTTGGGGTCCGGGTTTTAGTCAGTACCGCAGTCGTATCTTGTCGGGTCTTGCTAAGTCGTTCGTTGGCAGTCGTCAGAAGTTTATTGTGGAAGAGTCCCATTAGTTGGCAGTCGTTGAAAAAGATAAATGACCTATTATTTTAGCTCGAAAGTCGTTGTAAAGTAAAAAAAATTGGTCGATAACTTTAGCAAAAGTCGCTGAAATTCCAACGACTATTGCCACGGTATGAAACCTGGCGCATACAGTGATTTTTATTTTTATAGCCATTCAATTTCCTTGTACATCTTTAATGTGTTGGAATATGGTGTGTTTACCCTAAAAACAATCATTTCACAGACAATTATAGAAAATTACAGGTAAAATGCTTTTTCGGTTTTTAACTGAAAAACCTGAAAAAAGGCTACACTGCTACAGCCTTACAGTTACAGGGAGTCAGGAACAAGTGGAAATGTGGAATTAAGCCAGATTCACAGCAATTTATATCAAATTCCAATTTTTCAGATTGGCCTCTGACTTAGTGATCCTAATATTTAAAAAGGATTGGAACTTCTAAGTCTGACTTAGTGATCCTATTATTCCTAATATTTAAAAAGGATTGGAACTTCTAATTTCTAACATTTCCCATTAAAAGATTTGAGTAGTTTTACACTTTTATTCTAGGATGTTTTTCTACTTTTCAATAGGCTAAACTCCGACTCTATTAACGCAATGTATTGTATTTTTGTATAAATGTATTTAGGCCTAGGCCTAAATGATTTTAATCATCCAAGTATGCATAATACCTAATCATGGTGTCAGAGCCAAGTTTTGGAGCCAACTCAGGTTACTCAGCCAAGACTTATTCAGACTTATCCTCAAGTCTTATAAATATAGGCTAAGTAGACTGTAGACCAGTATTCAGTGAAGTAGGTAGGCCTACCTAGGTATCAGGCCTATCAGCATCATGAATTATGAATAGACTAGACTAGAGTATTCAGTATAGGTACCACCGTACCAGCATTATCAGGCACAAGATATTGGTTTCAATTTTGAATAGAAGAGAATATCAAAAATGACCATCTCAAAAAATCTGTGGTTTGTCACTACTCAGTACCTACTCATTAATCATTATGCCAATTGCCAGCCGTAAGCCGTTTCGACTTCCATTCTGCCCATACGGCTACCGCTTGTCGGCTAGGACGCGATACGGAAACGATCATACGAATAAGGTAGGTACACGTACAAGGTTAGGCGAGGGAATGAAGAAAAACAACGTATCGAACTAATGTATTACTTCATCTGTTGGCAGAGAAAAACAAGGATATTTGTCGCAAACATGATGGACCCACCCACAAATATGAAACTTAATGCCCGGCCCACCGCTTCCCGTTCTCAACAGGATGAACTTGAAGGATGCAACACTGTTGAGACTTCCCGTCCGAAAGTGAAGGCGGGATCCGTTAAATCTGTCCTACCCCTTTAACCTAAGTCAAATACGATCTAACTTACACATAACCTATATAAGAAAGAATACCTCTTCCAAGTTCTGCAGTTATCTCTTTCATATTTTGTATGTAAATACAATTAAAATAGGTGTTGACGTAGAACTATTATTCAGCAATCTAACAGCATAAGGTTCCGAGCCGTTTCCACCGAAACGCGGTCACAACATAGTATGATAGTATTTGTAAAGACGGTTCCTTCTACAAAAAAGTACAGACAAAATCTTGATTTATTGTATAGGTATTGGAGATTATTTTGCAATGCTTTTTGGTTGTATAAGCCTATTTTTAACCTAAATTAAGCTAAATAAAGGTTCTCATTTATTAAGAGTAATGGCCGTAAAATTTGAATGGGACGACCTGCGTGAGAACCGCGTAGGAATTTCGTATAATTGACCATATTTTCTATAGCCCAAATTAAATCAAATTCACACGAACCTTTGCAGGTCAGTTCTAATTAAACAAAAGCGTCAAAAATTTAGAGACGTATTTCAGGCTCGCCGCACCATGGTTGAATTAATGCGCACAGCAATTAACGTGCCATCGTGTGAAGTCCGTGCGAAGAAATGTCCGACCGGTGTAAAATATTTGCTGGTTGTGTGTTATCCTCCCGTGCCCTGAAATTAATGCTTCAACAAAAGGGTTACAGTAAAGAATGGAAAACAGGTGTCTAAGCAAATGGCGCGGAAAGAAGTACATACAAGGTTTGGTATAAATGGCTACTCGGATGAACACCAATTTAACATACCTACGTATCTATAAATACTAGATGAAACAACCTAACATTAGCAAGCAGATTTGAAATTAAACCCTCTACAGCCTGACATGAGTAACCGGAGCCGGGGGCAATATTGTCACAAGCCTACTTCCCAAAAAGTATACGTTGCTAGTGAGCGCAAAATGACTTGCACTGATGGTTGCTGCCACGTACGGCAACTTTAAAATGTTCTCTGTTGCGTACAAACGTCCTCAGGTTGCAACACACAATAGTTTATGTATAACTCAAGTTGAAAGTTATTTGCCCGGAGAGTACATACTGCGTTAGAGGGTTAACAATGATAATTACCCAAACACAACCCAAAGTTGAGAAACCTCGTCAGTATCATAATTACCCAGTAAAACAGAGCTTTGAATTCGAAAATAATCTTAGTGCTAACTCATTCTAAAAAAACATATAAAACTGAATTCGACGCAAATTAACTTATAGTTACGATAAGCCATTATAAGAGCATATATGCGAGTTCTTATGATCGTTGAAATGCACACCACGCCAAGCAACAACAAATTAGACGTTTACTGCTTGAGAGATGTTTTCATACCCATTATTTATTTCCAAGTTACTTACAGCGCCAACCACATCTGGTAACTTGTCAACATGGAAGGCAACAGGTTGGCTTTGAATTGGTTTGCGGGACATTTTGCATTTTACTCCTTGGTGAGCTTCCTTGTCAAATGCGGTTCCAAGAGCATCAATTGGACTATGTTCACATACAGCTTCAACTGTGCTACAGATGTCACGACTCGCACAGTTCGATCTTTTGATGAAGTTTACGTTAGAGTTTTTTGATGATCTTTCTTTAGGACCCTGGGCAATCTCCATGTGTGGATTATGCAACTGAACTTCAACACTTGAAACGTTCGCTTTTTGCTTCTGAACATCATCAACTGGCTTTGAAATGAGAATTGGAGTCAGACCAGTCACCGAGCAAGCAACCCCATCCGATGAATGGTCACTAACTTGAAGTTCATGTCTCCTTGCTGCTGATCTCATTTTCAGTAAAGTCTGCTTCGACTTTAGCAAAGGTGATAGATTTGATGTACACTTTGTGGCTGACTTTTCTTGAATTTCTTTGTCGATTCTATGCAAATAGTATCCTATCCATTCGGCTTCACTCCAATTTGTGCAAATCCACGGTAAGTTTGTGCTATTTTTCAACCGATGACCAATCTTCTGCAAGCTTTTATTAGTAGATTTTATAGAATTACAGGGAGCGCTTGTCTGTTTGTGATCTTTTTCGTTACTCGTGCAACGTTTATCTTGATCTAAATTTCGTGAACAATTTTGCCTGCCTTGCTGACCATACATCACTGCTTCAGGGATGGGGAATTCATCGACGACCTGTAACAAAGAATGGACAGAGTCGTTGTAATTCGTAAGGTATTGTAAAATATGAGGGAAATTTTAGATAATAAAATAATTTGTTTAAATCCGTCATTCATTTCCATCAATAAGCACACGTGAAGCTAAACCGGCCAAATCTTAATCAAGATTGTGCTTAAAATGTAATACATATCGCATGAAGTGATACCTACATCCAACAAATGGATAATTTGTATATTATTAGAATTCCTGTAACATGTATTTTACCTCATCAAGGAAATCAGCCTCTCCTTCCTCCTCCTTGCAGTTTGTCTTTCCAGCGAAGGGCGGCCTCGACCCAGCCCTCTCTTGCGCGGCCTTCTTGATATTGATTCTTTTACAAAATATTTCAATAAAGATTAGGATTGTTCCAGTGATCGTAGCTCCAACCACCATGTAAAACATCCCCTCGATGTTGGTCAGGCCGAGCTGTAAGGGCTCGCCGTCCACCTCCAATGGACACTCGTCTTCGAGGTCTGACCAAATCCATTGGTCGTCGAGTTTGGCCATCAAGCCACCTGGAAAAGGACAATGCACTTGAATGATCTGACAAGATGTAATGGCTGTCTAGCTTGATTATCGAGACATCTGTAAAGAGGAAATATACTTTTTGCAACATGATTAGATCTAGCGGGCGTCGGCTCAGCTATTAAACGATCTAAAAGCAAATAATTGGTAGTGTGATCACATACAAAAATTTAGAATATACCGTTAGACTTCATGGGCGATAGATAATTGGAATACGAATATAGCATGAAGTCGATGAACGTATAAAATTTTTTATAAATTTTGTGAGAATCGATTTGCTCTTTTACGAAATTTTTTCAAATCGAATATCCGAAATTATGTTTATACTTTGTCTCATACGTTCTTATGGAAATGAGAGTCGCCAAAAAGCGACTCTGCGCAAAAGCGATTATGTATATAATTTATAGTTTCATACAACACCATAGTTTGATCACCTGAAAAGATTTCTGGGACAAAAAATTCTGAATTCCTTGCTTAAGAAGTTGTTAACCCACGTTGCATAAAATACATTGTACATTCGACGTCTAAATGTAAACTAGATTCTAAATAAACAAAAAAACGGTGACAGGCACTTATACATATATACTAATTATTGTAAGCCGGAGCTCGACACACGCAAGAACTCACTCTCAACAATTCTGAATTCCTTGGTTAAGAAGATGTTAACCCACCTTGCATAAAATGCATTGTACAATCTAAGCTTTAATGTAAACTAGATTCTAAGTAAACGAAAAAAACGGTGACAGGCACTTTTATATATTAATTATTGCAAGCCAGGGCTCGACATTAGCAAAAACTCACTCTCATGGAAGTGCAGGATGTCGAGAGTAATTTTTTCAGCCCATGGAGAGCCTCTGACAAGAGCGATACCGTAGCCTGAGCGCCCGAAAATATCTCCAACGGTGACCAGTTCGCAGTTGCGTGAAGCTTCGTACTCGAGACGAGAGCTGTCCCATATGAAGGCTTTCAGAGTCCTGTTATTAGAATGAAAATTTTTTTGAAACAAGGAAATATTTGCTAAGGTGGCCCACAAAAATCGACAATGATGAAGTTTTTATTTACGACTTTCATTTGCAGGCGTTCGGAATTCAGATTTGAGTAACCAAAGATGTGACCTATGATTTCAACAATTTTCAGAACATTTTGACTGAACTCATGGCTGGGTTGTAAAATGCTGCAGCATTTTACAACTCAGCATTCAAACATATCAAATTCAACCCTATTTAGGGTTGAATTTGATATGTTTTAAACTTTATTATCATTATTATTATTTTACTATGATAAGTCCCTCGGAATAGATCCACGGATTCGATTGGTCACTGTATCAAAAAAATGACTGAATTTAATTTAACTTAATTTAACGTTATTATCAATAATATTTTACTAAGATAAGCCGCTCGGGATGTTCCACAGATGCGATTGGACTAAAATGATGATTATCGTAAATCAATGTTTTGAAATCATATTAAATAATCATGAATTACCGCACAGCATACAAGCATACTCATCTTAATTAAATTTTAACACTAACCCATTAAGCAAGGCGTTGATCCCTTCTTGCGCACTCCTGACGTTGCTGCGGTTCATCACTCTGTACATGTTCGACAGCTCGATCTTCTGACGGAAGTACGTGTCGACTGCGGACCCAACCACGGTGCCGAAAGTGAAATTTTCTGACGGGTTCCTCAGCTAAGGAAATTCATGCAGCGAATTAGAGCAGCCGAATTAGTAGGCCTGTTACAATTTGAAAGTTGAATTGCATGAGTCATAGTTTAAAAACGTTGAATCTTGAATATAATTACCTGGGAATAAAAATTCGGGATATAATCGTATATTTGAAAAATTCCATAGCTAACTAATCGTATTAATTAGTAATTAGTAAGTATTAATCTTATTCTTTGTCAAAATTATCAGCCAAATAAACTTTTCAATTTAAAATGATCGACCTATTTTCAGACTATTATTGACTGCGAATTGAATGATAACTTATAATGCATAAAATATTTTCAACGAATTTCCGCGGTATTTAAAATTGGTCAAATAAATTTAGCAGTACGTGGGCCTATCTCACCAGTCTACGGTACTTGCAACTAAAATTTCAGTATCTCTTCTAGTTAACACTGAACATACTTCTGACGTAAAATGAGTTATCGATTTCGAGTGTTGCTCAGGGGTACGCTAAGTATTTAAGTTTCAAAATTATTTCATTTCCGAAACCACATTCAGCATGTCAAAATTTCCTGAAGTGAAGTCACCGACTGTAAATGCGGCATTTTATTTTGATATTTTTTAAATGATTGAAATGTATCGAAGATCATTGAACGTAAGCTACTGTTCCGTATTTTGGCTATCACACAATTTATACAGAAATTTAATTTATTTCAACTACTTCATATTGGTCGCTTATTTAAGCAACTTTCGCCATTAGAATCATTATAATTAATATCTTATTTCCATTATATATACATAAATCAATTCACAAAGTAAGAATATTACCCTGCCAACCTAGGGGCAAGGTCGATAACAACAAATTTAATTATAATTAAATTAAATTTGGTTTCATTTTTAGCGCATTTTCTCATTTATAGTAAAAATGCCCTATTGTGCTCGCCATGTCCGTCTTTCTGTCTGTCTGTCTGTCCGTCCGTGACCTCAAGTTTTCGTCGACGAGAAAATGCACTCTCTGTCACTCACTGCAGTGAGTACTGAGTTATATTTTATTTACTTTAGGATCGTTAATGCCCGTTATAGCGTCCGTGTGCTCCTCTAGGACCAAGAAGGCTGCGAGGTTCGCCGTGTAGGACGCCAGTAGGATCATTGCGAAGCCTGCCCAGATCAGCGTCAGCACTCGGGCACTCAGAGAGCGCGGTGTGCCTGGGGTCATGTCAATTAAATTTTGGTAAAAATTCATAAAATGAATGTAAAATTATATAAATAAACCATACTTGAATTTACATTGTGTCTCTGCTAAACAATATTGAAACCTTTGTGAATTTAAATTATAATGTGACTCTCAGTGACCGAGGCGTGCCTTGTGCTATGCGAGCGAAATTTGGAGGAAACTCCTAGGGAAACACGTTGCTTGAATTTACATTGTGATTGACACAAACAGCCGGCTAAAACTTTGTGAATTTAAATTGCAATGTGATTGTCATCGAACGCGTCGTGCCTGTTGTCATACTAATAAAATTTGATTAAAAACTCTTAAGGATTAACTTCATGCGAATTTAAATTGCATTGTGATTTTCAATGAGCGTGAAACAGACGTCGATAAGCACTGAAAAGTTTCGTTGTAGTAGATACGCGAGCAATAATTTGAGAAAGAAATTGATTAATTCTAATAAATTAAGTTCGTGTTACTAGAACTAGTAATTTGACGACATTAAACTACAGCAATAACTAGATTTGTTTAAAAACTTGAACAATAATAATGAAGAAAATTTTTAAATGTATATTCTCATAAGTGGCCTCTAATTTTGACGGGTCAAGTATGAATAAGTGCAGTGTAGTATACGTAAGTGAAGTCACATTCATTCATAGCATCAATAATACTTGTGATAGGTCCATTATGCATAAGTGCAGTGTAGTATGCGTGGGTGAACTCACCTTCATTCATAACATCATTAATACTTCTAACATTTCCAGTATGCATAAGTGCAGTGTAGTATGCGTAGGTGCAATACTCACCTTCATTCATGCCGCTGTTCAACAATACTCCCCATGACAACCAGCAGGCTTCACTCAGCGTTAAAGAGTCCGTTTCACTGCCTGAGTTTCTGAAAAAATCTGAACGTGAATTTCACTTTATGAAATTCAAAATTTCAAAAATCCTTTCTAGATGATCGTCAAAAAATAAAAAAGTTTTAAAGCTAAACATTTCGAAAAGAAATGAGTTTAATTCTTGGCTCGCGTACTCGTACAAGGGACCGGAAGTAGTCGAGTAATCAGGCGCTGAGAGCAATTACAAGCACAACAGCGAGTAAGATCGATAAGATCGATATTAAGAAAAACATTTAAAGCTATGTATAGTGTATACTTTATTTACAAATATAAAGTTTTATCTCCTGGTATTCATTTATACCTATTTTTTCGTTATAGCGTAGTTATACATAGGGCTGAAGTGGTCGAGAAGCCATACGCAGAGCGCGACTACATGTACAGAGATTCATGTATATTTTCGTTATTTCAAGCAGGTTTCATTTAAGACCAGGGCCTATACTTTCAAAAAAAGTTAAGAGATCGTAAGTTCATCAGCCAATCATTGACGGTCTTTCGAGCAAAAACCACCAATCATAGACAAGAAAATAGAGCGTAAGTACTTACGTTCACTTAGCGAATTTTGAAAGTTTGGCCCCTGAGAATTTGTTTTATTCGCAATTTTCTTATTAGTTTTTTCAATATATCGAACAATATTTTCTTGTTCGATATATTCAATATTTTCAAAAAAAATTTTCTTGCAATAGAGAAGGTTGTAGACTTCTCCCCAATATGGACTACATCGGGCTCACAACTACGACATTAAGCCGACGTCTCACGTGCCACCTTCAGTCTGGTGGACCAAAGAACCACCTGATGGAAGCCCACAACGAGACCATCACTCATACGGTTCTGGAAGAATGCACCAGCGTCGTCATGAGATGCCTCGACGCCAACCGACTCATGATAGCTGAGGCCTTCATCATTAAGGATAGGACCCCAGCCATCAACCTTCAAACTACTGGATTTGTCAGAACCTTAATTGAGACTGTTTTTGGAGTAATTTTCGGTGCTTTGATTCTAAATCATTTTGTGACTTTGTAATTATTCCTAACAATTTTGATTTTTGAGTAGTATCCTATTTACTTGACTTTGTACTTATGTCGACGCTAATTTCATCACTCAATGCGCCTTTTAACTTGATAATGAATGATAGAAACATTCGAAACGTCGTTAACGAAATAAAAATGTCCATCGGTAACCTGATTTTCNTGTACAGAGATTCATGTATATTTTCGTTATTGCGTACTTGTACATAGGGCTGAAGTGGTCGAGCAGCCATACGCAGAGCGCGACTACATGTACAGAGGCGAGCAGTATGGCCCAAAGACTCTCGTGGAACGGCTGGACGATGGACACGCTCGATGTCTTCAGTGGACTCTGGGGATAGAAACTGGCTTATGTACTGAATCAAATTTTTACATATGTACGACAATAAAAATATAGATAAAAAAATGCTTCGGATATATTTGTTCTCTTTCATATGTGGTAATTTAAAGGAGTATTTTTATTCATACATGAAAATATTTTGCCGATAATTTAAAGTTTGATAAACCTCTTGAGTTAACAGATTAAAAGTAGGTTTCATAACAAAAACATATTAATATATTAGCAACATTCTAATTATTATTATTCATTATCAGACACATAAGGTTTGATAACCAAACCTGTATTGTTTGTAATAAACTAATCAAAAATCATGTCATTCCAAGACCTAAATTTTAAGCGTCTAAAATCCATTTTACTTGAAAAAATATAACTCAGTACTCACTGCTGTGAGTGACAGAGAGCGCATTTCTCGTCGACGAAAACTTGAGGTCACGGACGGATGGACAGACGGACGGACAGACGGACAGACAGACGGACATGGCGGGCACAATAGTGCATTTTTCCATAAATGAGAAAATGCGCTAAAAAGACGATATTTATTCAAAGCGTCGTAAGTACATCAAGATACTGTACCTTTTGGATATACCAAATATGCAAAAGAAACAGCTCAACTCGTTAAAAAATTAAAGAAACAAATTTTTGATATTATGCCATTTATAATAAATTTTAATTGAAATTGCACCAAAAATACTCCTATACTCTACCAATATTCGCACTCATTTCATGACATTTAGACATCAGTTGTAGCCGTTTATATTGGCCAAGTCGTCACAAATTCAAACATTCCTTCAAGTTTTATTAAATTTACGAGCTTCAGTCGCATATACCAAAGCTCATTGCTGACAAAACTGCCATAAGTTTTATGAAAGTTCTTTAATATTTCGCTGCACGTGCTTGTTATCGTGGCATGCAGCAATATATTTCTTTCTGCACAGACAAAAAGTACAAGTTGTCCAAGTATTTGCGATGAAGATATCAACATATTTTCGGTAACATCACCCAGATTGCAACCCAGGCATCAATATCTCAAAACTGAACTGGGAAAGTCATAACACGAATTAGAAACTACTTCTTTGCGAGAGGAATATTTTTAAGAACAATTTACGGCATGGAATTCCATATGATGGATTTTCTTTGAAGATATGGACGCAATAAACAACATGGTACATTAATTTCAAATTTTCCTGAACATTTTTAAAATAAAATATCAGCAAATTAGTTTTAAGGAAAATTATTTCTCCTATGACAGTCAATTCTAAACAAAATTTTCCGCACTGACGTTTGAATATTCATTTTTCATTTGTGAAATCAATAACGGACCAGGCAATAAGTCCAGCAGCTATCTCAATCAATCGTCAGCTATGGAAAGATCGGGTTCCAAAGGCCGGACCCCTTGTGAATCAAGTCACGATCGAAAAGTTCAAGAATCGGCAACAGGCCATGGGCCTATTTCTTCAGTGCCGACACTTCTATATTATTCTAAGCAACAGGCCATTCATTAATTTTCAAATGTTATTTCAAATCGATCACTATCATTCACATATCACGCTGTGGTTCAAGTTAACCTACCCTGCCTTTATTGGTAAGATGTTCCGTTCAACCAAATTGAGATTAGACAATAAAATATGCTACTTCTATTTCATATTCAGTTGTTATTTAGTGATAATATTGCGATTCCATAATTAATGTGCTTAAATGATTAGTTTCAGTCGGTTCATAAGTATTATTTTCAATGTGTAGGGTTGCTGCTGATCTCGTGTGGACTGGACTCAAGGTGACACTCTCCAAGCTCTTAGAGCTTTTCGTGCTTAACGATCACCACGTGGACCTACTTCTTTCCTTGAGGATCGGAGAAGCCCTGCAGACTACCTTGTTTTAGGAATTCACAGATGTTGCCTGTTGTATCTGTAGATTGAGCAGCTAAGGTGTCAGATTTATTATTATTAATGTATGACGTTCTCCCTTGATGTAAACTTTGATTCGTGTTTGTTCTATTAAATTGTTGGTGTTCCTAAATGTTTATAGTATCCGAGTCAGTGAAACGAACCCCGATGAAGTATACAGACTTCATTACACTAAGCATTGCCGTAATATAGTCCACTCATAATTGAGACAACCACAGCAAATAAAAATAACGGCAAATATGAAATACGCAAATAAAATTATTTGTGTTAGTATATTTGCAAAGAACTGCACCGTAACTGTTTGAGTGTTACTACAATCGTTCCTGGAATTAATGCTACGTATAAGGATCTCAGCCCTGATTTCTACAATTAGGTGAGTGAATCGAGGTACATTTTTATACCGAAGATTGAATATCATTCAAGTCAGCAGGAGTTTTTTAATTGACCTTTCAAATGACAGATCAGTAACTGCTATGTTTATAGTTGCCTTGTCACTTTTAGATACGTCTTGCGTCTCAGTGAGCTGAAAATTTGTGAGCCTTCCTATTAGCGCCCGAGAAATAAAACGCTGTGCTGTTGAAGTACTTTGTTCGTGGTACAGAATTTGTGCAGAAAAATAAAATATAACTCAGTACTCACTGCACTGAGTGACAGAGAGCGCATTTTCTCGTCGACGAAAACGTGAAGTCACGGATGGACGGACGGACAGACGGACAGACAGACGGACGGACATGACGAGCACAATAGCGTCTTTTTTCCACAAATGAGAAAATGCGCTAAAAAGTATCTATTTATCTTGATTATTTTCATTTGATGACACGTAATAAAAAACTTACTACCAGCACATGTACTGTAATAACCCACCTGTACCGTTACTGTAATACTGTTCTCCGTACTCTGTGTCGTTCGAGACATAGAGATCGAACGTGAAATTCGAGGCGCTGGCGAGTTCATTCAGGAGATGAACACAATAACCCGAGCAGCAGCGTTCACCAGGGACTGAAATGATGTTTACTGCACTTTAATAATGTTCAAAGTAATGACATTAAATACACTGCACTTTAATGATGTTCAAAGTAATGACATTGAACACAATAACCCGAGCAGCAGCGTTCACCAGGGACTGAAATGATGTTTACTGCACTTTGATGATGTTCAAAGTAATGACATTAAATACACTGCACTTTAATGATGTTCAAAGTAATGACATTAAACACNCAATGATTATGAAGATATGAAAGCTACAATGATTATGAAGATATGAAAGCTACAATGGTTAAGATCATATTAAAGCAACAATGATTATGAAGATATGAAAGCTACAATGATTATGAAGATATGAAAGCTACAATGATCATGTAGATATGAATGCTACAATGATTATGAAAATATGAAAGCTACCGCGATTATAAAGATATGAAAAGTACAATGATTATGAAAACATGAAAAATACAATGATCATGAAGATATGAAAGCTACAATGGTTAAGATCATATTAAAGCAACAATGATTATGAAGATATGAAAGCTACAATGACTACGATCATATTAAAGCTACAATGAAGTGACCACTCACTGACGGCAGCACCTGCGTACAGCAAGCACGGGGCATGGGTCGGTGTCACACACTCGCTCTTCTCAACGCTCGTCTCCGACATCATCAGGAACGGCTTGTCTTCCAGGGTAAGGACCTACGCAAATACTCATAATATTTATAACATGGAATACCGTTACAACTTATAATCACATCCAATAACATTTACTAACAAAATAGTAAATAATTGTAAGAAGGACTTTAAAGTCTTCATTTATTGTGTGATCTTCCTGTGGCGAATTTATATACACATTTGGATGTTTTTTCATTGTCTCCGGTTTTTTATCCAACTTCCAAAATCACTTCATATAATTGTGAGAGCTAGACCAATATTTAAGCACACTCCCCCAAAATCTATGTAAATCCTTTTAATTAACCAAGAAATATTCAGTGCTTGATCGTGTGGATAATTTTCTGCGCCTTTTTAGCGCATTTTCTCATTTATGGAAAAAATGCGCCATTGTGCTCGTCATGTCCGTCCGTCCGTCAGTCCGTCTGTCCGTCTGTCCGTGACTTTACGTTTTCGTCGACGAGAAAATGCGCTCTCTGTCACTCACTGCAGTGAGTACTGAATTATATTTGTTCTATCACTTCGCTCAAGCCCTTGCCTACCTTCAAGTGTGCTGGGATGAAGTAACCTGTAGGCGTCTCGCTAACGCCGCCGGGCCACACAATCTCTTCGTTCAATTCTAAATCCATTCTTCCCGATGACTGCAAAGATAACAATTTTCAAATAGGAAAATTGTTATCTAAGTTGAAAACTTTTAATAAAGTCAATTACATCCCGGTGTCACTCAGACCTACCATAAAGTTTTGCCTATCAAGTTTGTTAAACTTGAATTATATTGTCCTGGCTTTGGCAACTAATTCATAGTAAATTTATTTTTTGCGCTTATATTATATATAATTTAGTGATTTTTAAAGCGCAAATAGAGCCTTATCAAGATTTTTTAAATCATTCGAATTAACTTACTGGTAAGCATTTGATTCTGATCGAGCTGTTACAGTTTAATCCTTATATACACTTTAATTTATTCCGTCTGTTTATTTATTTTCCAAATGAATAATTTAATAATTACCAATGAATAAACATGACTATCAGAAATCTAAGAATTGAGTTTAGGTATATTGATCACTATTTGCATCTATTGACCATGATTTTAATTAATTCAAACCTTGTTATACAGGTAGGTGCCGACAACTTTCAGTAGGTTGTCTTGTAAAGCATTTATGATTTCATATTCAGCGAAGATTCGATCACCGTTGTTGTCGAACGCGACTCGTCCTGTGAGTCCTTCTGTCAGATCTTGACGTTTGAGGTACCTAAAATATCAGGGTGAGAATGCTTAATATATGTGTAGGATAACATCGTATATCAGGGTGAGAATGCTTAATATACGAACGGGATAACATCGTGTGAGATTGCACACGATGTGTATCATCGTTTGATAACATCGTGCATCAGGGTGAGAATGCTCAAAGTATCAATTTCAAGTGGTCATATGCCAGGTTATTCGTCACGAACGAATTTATTCATCATGACTCTCCTTCTAAATTTGAGAGTGATGCAGTGAAGTACCATGCAGTGAAGCTACAGTGACTACGCTCACCTGTACAGTAGAGGTCCAGTGATGTTCCAGTGATTGTGCTCACCTGTACAGCAGAGGCCCAGTGATGTTCCAGTGATTGTGTTCACCTGTACAGCAGAGGCCCAGTGATGTTCCAGTGATTGTGTTCACCTGTACAGCAGAGGCCCAGTGATGTTCCAGTGGTTGTACTCACCTGTACAGTAGAGGCCCAGTGATGTTCCAGTGGTTGTGCTCACCTGTACAGTAGAGGCCCAGTGATGTTTCAGTGGTTGTGCTCACCTGTACAGCAGAGGCCCAGTGATGTTCCAATGGTTCTCCTGGCAGCAGGCAGACGGAGGGCTCGTTATCATTTCAGGCTGTTCTTCTTGCAAGGATTTCAACGCTTTTGCAGTCACGTGCCTGGACGATGCGATATTCATATAAAATATGTTTATCGGTGCGAATTAATTAACCTTGGTGAAATAATGATTATTCCCACCAACCACATTCAAGTCCCATCTTTAGGGGAGCGTCCAGGGACAACTTTATCTCGGTTATTTGCAGACGGATCGATTCGAAATTTGGTACACTTCTGTAAAACGGAATTCTAAGACTTTTCTTCGTGTGAATTTTTCGAAAAAAATGAAAGAAAACGTGAAATTCTTAGAAAACGGCCAAAAAGGGGGTACTTTAGAAATCCTTTCTCCTCCTAGAATTTTCAAGCTTCAACATCGAGACACATATCATTCGATGCGCAAAGACCATATCTAAAAACGTCACTTGGCGGTTTTTTAGATTTCTCATTTTTGTGGCTGTGTGAGCATTTTTTCCGATATTTTTCGAAATTTTCCGATTTTACTCCCGCCCTCCCCAACTTTTTGCAAAATAAAATCTGAACCATAACGCAATTGGAAAAACGACCAAGTGACGTTTGTAGTCTTTCCTTTCCAAATCGAATGGTATATGTCCCATTGATGTAGCTTCAAAACTGTAGGAGGAGATAGGATTGCCGTGAGAGAGGTTTTCTGCTTTGGCAACTTTTCAGTAGAAGCAAAAAGCCGCCGCGTGGCACGTAAAGGCACGTAACGTAGCCTAGATACCAAAAGTAAGCATCAACTCACTTCAAAGACAGTAATCGGTGCATAGAGCCACTAAATGAACACCATCCCGCGTGCTGTCTGTGAGGTTACTGAGCTCTAGCCGAGTGAAGAGCACATTTTATAGTTAATTTCCCCCTTTGGAATTACTAAAGGCCCCCCACCTCCTTCCCCCCTTACGGGATCTGTCGTGAACGCATAAATCAACGTACAGAGATGGTTCTAGTACCGTTTGATGCGGCAGAAAGTAAGATTTAAGATAAGTATAAGAACTGGAGAATGTCATAATTGGTTGCTTTACATCAGACGATCCCTTTTATTGTGCCCGGCCGGGTAATTTCCGCCTAACTTTACTAAAGGGGCCCGGACACCTCCCCCCTTACGGGATCTGTTGCGAATGCATAAATCAACGTACAGAGATGGTTCTAGTACCGTTCAATGCGTCAGAAAGTAAGCTTTAAGATGAGCCTAAAGACCGGAAAAGCCAAAATTTCGAACTTTGGACCTAGACGCTCCCCTTAATGGGTTCTCATCGAATACCATCTTCATAAAATCACCGAATGAAACACTACAAATTTTTTCAATTTGTAAAATTTTCATGGAACTACAAAAAAACATTGAAATACAAATCGCCCCTTTTCATTATATCATTTACATATAATTTATTAATTTTTTTAATGAATGCCCATTTAGTAAGTCGAAAAAATTTGTTTATAACCCCTTCACGTGTACATGAAGAACTTGGAATATTGCTAATGAACGATCATTTCTATTCATATTACCTATTGCTATTAGCATCCCTACGGTGGAACAGCACAGATCATACGCATGTTATATCCAGGTCATTTTTCACAAATCGAAAATTAACGGAAAATTTGTCAGAAATTAGATGAAATATTGAAATTAGACGAAATAATCTAATAGTTCTAGTTTGGCGAAACTATATAAGGTTTTAATTTTTTACTTAACATTCACCTATTCCTAATACGAAAGTCGTCAATTTTGACTTCAAATTTCACGCGTGCATTTATAATACTTAAATTATTATAATAACCTTGATGAAATCCAGTTCAACTCAACTTTTTTTTAATAAAAATTCATAAGACTGAGTAGACCAAACAACTTTGCATGAACACATGCATTTTGTTTGGTAATAAATTGTTGTCCATGAATAATAAAACAATAAATTGTTATTGTAAAGCAATAAATTGTTGTTGTAATTGTTGGTGTAAAGCAATAAATTGTTGTTGTGATTGTTGTTGTAAAGCAAACGTCAGAGATGATGTAATGATGTCGTCATATCGTCAGAGATGATGCTGTCACATCATCATTGCATGATGCAGTCAAATCGTTACGTTTTTGGAAGTGAATTTTTGTTAAAGCAAGGCTCTGTCAACGTGAATCATTTGACAAAGTTCAATTCACTGCCATTATATATAAAAATTTGTCATTATAAGAAGAATGACGAATTTTGCAATTATTTATATATATTATTGATTTATTGAAGGTATCGGCTAAGATCAGGTCGTCTGGCCTTTTATTGGTTTTAAGAATAAAAAAATGTGCGTTTGCTGTAAATTTGAGCCCGAAACTCACTGCTACATTGCTATATTTTGTTACAGAGCCCTTATGAACTGGGCGTAACTCAAAACCACAACCTATCCCGCAATAACCTTTCAGATTCGACCTGCTTCTCGCAGTTCATCAAGCGAAGGAAACAAAGATGACCAAATATTAAGATTTCATTCAACACGAAAGGTGTTAACAGTATGCGAGGATCGAAGTCGAGTCTAGGCTTCGAAGGTCTCCCTGCATGAGAGATGAACATTGCGGCTAGGGTCACAAATGGGACAAGCCATAAGCACATAGTAAAGCTTTAAAAAGAGTTCCTAAAACCTAAGCTTGTACAGTTATAATTTCACACACTTAACTACAAGATCATGAAATAAAAGACAACAGCACAGGTCCTACTTTAAAATAACCGATGATAAAGTACACAGTACACACATGTTCCCTGCGGTGGCGCAAACAGAATAAGGCTATTAGTGGCTACTAACCCGGACTTCAGGGTCAATCCGGCAACATCGCAAACACATCTGGTTTATTTTTTGAAATGACATTCAAAACAGTCCTGGTTTCACTCCTCTGCAGCTTTTCTTTATCCAATGTTTTATTCGGTGATTTAAAAAGGATGAAAGAAAAATACCTGGTCGCCAGCAGGTAGACGCGGACAGTGCTGTTCTGCAGAGGCCTCAGTTCGTTCAAGACGCTCGCTGACCCTGGAGCGAACTCGACTGTCGAGCTCACCTGTGTATATTAATTTCAAATTACTTAAGCTTCCGATATTGAAGTTATGTAAGTGATCGGGACTTACCGAATAAACAACATAGATCATAAGTCAAAGTTTCATCGGTAGTAGAAAATCTTTGTTGAAGAAATAACAACGTGGTATTAGTTTCCTCCTGAATGTCTTCAGAAATACTTTATCGTTACTACCAGCATGGCACTTGCATGTAATGGAATTCCCACTAGATTAATTTTGATATATTTTATTTTTTTGCAAACGATCTGAAACTCAGTAGATAGTTCAACAATCCTAAAATTGACAATTATTTGAAACAATTCATCATAATCAATATTTTTGGTCAATTTGACGGAAAAACTGCTAGCAAAGTTTGACCCTTTTTCATCAACCCTCACTCACCTTGACCCTCATACCATCACCCCTCACTCACCTTGACCCTCATACCATCACCCTCACTCACCTTGACCCTCATATCATCACCCTCACTCACCTTGACCCTCATATCATCACCCTCACTCACCTTGACCTTCATATCATCACCCTCACTCACCTTGACCCTCATATCATCAACCTCACTCACCTTGACCCTCATATCATCACCCTCACTCACCTTTACCCTCATATCATCACCCTCACTCACCTTGACATTGGTCTCATCACTCATGTCCCTGACGAGGTCGTGGAGGTGGCGTAGCGTGGTCCAGCCCTCAGCCTCCGACGACATCACGAAGACGACGGACCGGAACGAGAAACGTTCAAGAAGCCGCAACCAAACTGCGGCCTGGTGACTGTACGGCGGAACTGTTCGTAGTAGTGACGCGTGAAGGTTCTGCAATAAACAAAGTTCTAAAATATGTTCTTTAAAGATTATTCTTACTCATTGAAACATTACTGTCACAGGACTGTACGGTGGAACTGTCCGCAGCAGCGACGCGTGAAGGTTCTGTAATAAATGAAGTTCAAAAATATGTTCTTAATGTTATTGTCATGTCCGGTGTCAATCCACTTGACCTGATAGAGATTGAGGACGAGTCAACATCTGATAGACACGTGATAGATCACGCGATCAAGACCTCAGTAGTGGGCGGAAGCGAAGTTAATAAAAGGTCTAGCAACCTTAAGCGAACCCCCCAGTAGCTGATAAGCACTCCGCGATGTAGCGTGTAGCTTGAGTTCTCCGACCTTACGGTCGATGTCGTAGCTTATAACTCTGTATCGCAACTCTGTATTACCACCCCATATACAAGATACGTTATCTGGACTTGTGTGTCTTACTTATCCCTCACTACCTTAGTCAACGAACCCGATCCTCAGGTAGAGCTTAATACTATGAGCTCAATATCATCGTTTGTAGTAAATACACAATCTGTGACAGTGGCGCACCCGAACAGTGTCCCTCATACCTGTGACAGTCATGAGTATCCCCATACCTTGGAGTTATGTTACATGCTGATATTAAAACATTACTGTTGGAGGACTGTACGGTGGAACTGTTCGTAGCAGCGATGCGTGAAGGTTCTGTAATAAACAAAGTTCTAAAATATGTTCTTAAAACATTACTCATACTCATTAAAACATTACTGTCACAGGACTGTACGATGAAACTGTCCGCAGCAGCGACGCGTGAATGTTCTGTAATAAATGAAGTTCAAAAATATGTTCTTAATGTTATTGTCATGAGTATTCCATAACTTGGAGTTAAGTTACATGCTGATATCAAAAATTAATATTGGACTGTACGGCGGAACTGTCCGCACTCTACAGGTTTTGCAATAAACGAAGTTGAAAAATATTTTCTTAATGTTGTTTTCATGAGTATCCCATACTTTGTAGTTATGTTACATGCTGATATTAAAAACATTACTGTTTAGAGGACTGTACAGCGGAATTGTCCACAGCAGCGACGCGTGAAGGTTCTGCAATAAACGAAGTTGAAAAATATGTTCTTAATGTTATTTTCATGAGTATCCCATACCTTGGAGTTATGTTACAGGCTGATATTAAAACTTAATGTTGGAGGTCTGTACGATAAAACTGTTCGTAGCAGTGACGCGTGAAGGTTCTGTGATAAACGAAGTTCTTAAATATGTTCTTAATGTTGTTCACATGAGTATTCCATAGCTTGGACTTATGTTACATGCTGATATTAAAACATTACTGGTGGAGGTCTGCACGATGAAACTGTCTGCAGCAGCGACGCGTGAATTAAGGTTTTATAATAAACGAAGCTAAAAAATATATTCTTAATGTTGTTTCTATGAGTATTCCATACCATGGAGTTATGTTACATGCTGATATTAAAAACATTACTATTGGAGGACTGTACGGCGGTACTGTTCGAAGCAGCAACGCGTGAAGGTCCTGCAATGTATGCAGCTTGAAATATGAGCTTCATGTTATTTCTATGAATATCCCAATACCCGAGTGCTAAGTTGCATGTAGATATGAATGGTATTACTGTTCGGGAACTTTTCGGTTGAACTGTCCAATGGAGCGAAGCATTATGAATATGAAAAATATAAAAATTCCATTTATTTTCTTTTTGCAGTATTTAAAATTTTATTAGGAAGTACCCCTATCATAAATTTTAGCCGGCCAACGCAATTGAGAAAAAATAAATCACGGAATTTGTCCGGAAAAAATGACCGTCTGGCATCCCTGTTTAAAAACAGTACAAAAAATGAAATAATAGTACAAGATGAAGCAATCGGAGTCAACGTGTTAACTCGAGATAATGGGTTTAGATTGTCCGCAATAGCGATGCCTGGCGGTTCTGCCGTTGAACTTTGCGAGAAAGTTTTCGTATTATTGTTTGGACACAGATGATAAGTTATATGCTTGTAACAAAAATACTGGTGCGTTGCTATTCGAAGAATCTGATGTTGGAAGTAGAGGCAAACATGTCCTGTAATCAACTTAATTTTAAATAACGTTTATTGCGCATGCAGTTTACGTGTTTCAGTTCAAAAAATAACAGAAAAAAACGATGGTACAAAATCAATAAAGCTACCATATCACTGAGTTCTCTTTAAAATGCGTAAAAGTTCGCAGTAAATAAAGTTCTAAACTACCCCTATGGATGAATCTAAACTTCTCTAATTTTTCATTACAAATGATATAAATCGTTACAAATAAAATCTTCGCTAAAAATTTTTGTATGGGAGAAACTTTAGGCAATTATAAGTCGTATACGACACTGGAACACCGTAAGCCTAACCAGTTACTCACCGATTAAATTGGAGAAAGCAGAGTTTCGTTTTCCCCACTTTTTGGAAGAAAAGTCACACGGAAGTCCTTATACTCTACCTCCACCTCCACACTAACCCCGTCTCTCCACCTTCTTGCAGCCAACGACCGCGATCACCTCTTCAATAACCCAGCTCTATCTCATAGTAAAGTTATTTTGTCACTAAAATCATGAATGCATTGTCCTCTACAGATAGTCTTTTACTATTGAAACGTGACCTTCCTCATAGGCTATTTATTTGAATGAACTGTACCTTGAGCCTTCCTCATAGATTATCTATTTAAGGAAAGTATACCTTGTTTGAGAAGGCGCTATCCCTGACAGAGATGGACAAGACAGGGATGTGGTAGAATCCTCCTGTGTAGGATATGGAGGCTGTAGGAGCGCTTGAGTTGCTGCCTCCTGCAGCTATAATGACTGCTACCTGAACGTAAAAACAGTTAATCTTTTAATTGACAAATTAAATTATTAAAAGTTTTTCTAAAAGCAGAGCAGAGGTATTAATTTTAAAAACAAGAAACAACATAATTTTTCTGGAAGCCTAACTGCTGTAAAACCAATTCTAAAAATTTTATGAAATTATTTGTCGATGAAAATTTAATTTGCATCTGAAATATTTGATTTTCTTCCGTGTCACATGGTTTTTCTCATACAAATGTCAAACAATTTACAATATGTGTGTGACAGTGAACTCATAAAAACAACGAGCATTCATTCACTTGATGTGGATAGTGAGGTTGTTGAAGAAATATATTCTCGTGAATAAGGTTACCTGACAAATTTCTGAGCAAACTAGTCTAATTGGACGTATAGCCGAAAACAAACAGATCTCACTGAATAAGTAATGAATATCGATGCTTAAACAATATATATTAAAATATATATTGATATATTTATATATCAATATATTCTTCTATATTATCAATATATTCTATTTTCTTAAATATATTCTGTTTGTTCGTAGACGCCGGGCACGTGTTGGATCAAAGTCACGTACGAGTGGATTGCTGATTGGCGCGTTATCGACTTCCAATACTACACAATCTCGTTAATTCAAATTGGTGCGTGGCCATGAGGTTTTATTCAAATTAAATCTAAGGCAAACTGCAATTATGATCTCAATTAGCTTTATACAATATTAGAATATTCTGGCGAATAGTTACATATATAAAAGCATGAAATATGTTTGAGAATGGTGAATATATTAAAGTTGCTTCATAAGCTATAAAATATTTTCCCGAAAGAAATCATTTTAAATAATAAAGAATTACAACGTCTCCTGAAAACAACACATGCTAGAAGCTGTATTATATAGTGAAATCGCTGGTCAGCCTTACTATGCGGTGGTATATAACACAAAATCTATAAATCCTAATCTATATTCAACAATTGTATAGTAATATCTAGAATAATCTATATCCAGAACTCAATCCCGTTATTCCCGCAATTACTAATCCCGTAAACAATAAGGCATTCTAATTATGCATGTATTCTAATTCTAAGTAAATAAAGGCCTCATAAAACCCGATTGTGCGTTGAAGAAAGGACGCTCATTTTACACTCGCTTCAAAATATGAAAAGAATATTTTGAATATTTTAAATTATAATTGTATTTTACAACAGCAAAATCCAGTTCAGCAGTCTAGTCTAGATGACCAGTTCAGCTGATTTCTTCGTGGAGGCCTTGATCACGAAGCGACAATCAAATGCTTTAAATTCTGTATAAATAATTATCAAAATGAATTAAATAAAAACTCCATCACACTTCAGTTCGAAATAAAACGCATAGTTCATCCACCAAAACAATTAGATTTCAAATTATACACAAGTGGCGAATTCCCGTGCCAAACATGTGAAAAAAATGCATGGAACTTATAAATAGAATGAATATAGGAGGATATGAAACGAATGAAAAAATACGAAATATGTATGCGAAACTAATAAATAATGTCTGACAATTTTTTACGTATTAGGAAAATGTTGGCAAATTCATTAAAAGTGCAGAATATGACTAAATGAGATTGAAATGGCCCGATTCTAATTTAGAGAAATTTGTGCATTGTATTAAAAATGTAAAAAATATTGATCAGGTGTAGAAATATAATGTAAATGATATTAAAAAATGTGTGCCAAATGAATGAAAATAAATATGAAATTGATGTATGACTACTTTACTACTTTAGTACTGTACTACTGTATGTACTTTAGTATGAAATTACTGAGAAAAACTTCAAAACAAAATTTAAAGCAAAATCTATTGGAAATGAAGGACCTATTTTGATACGCAGGCTCAAGTTAGATCCTATCTATGAAAATCCGCTTTGAATTTGAGCTGAAGTAAGACGACCATGCATGGTAGCCATGATACGAGTTCCATTAAAGGCTTAAAACGCGCTCACAAAACACCAGAGATTTTGTTAATAAAATGCTATAAAAATATTTTATCAAAAATATACCCGAACTCAAACGTCAACGAAACACTTTGCTCTCGATGCAAGAGGCATTTTCTTTGCTCCTACGTTTTCAATCATTTCAATTAAGTTTATTCATTTTATAAAACTTTTTCGCACAACTTACACTCTATTCCCAAAATTACTCAAAATTTCGCACCAACATTACACTTAAAAAAATGAGTAAAACGTTTTACAATTGTCGCTGGTGCGAATCATCCTGATCCAGCTTGTGCCGACAAAAAAGGGTATCAAGAGTATGGTTTTTCTCGTACCGAGGTCAAACAAGTGTGTAGGTATTCTGACAACACGACCCATCTATTAGTGTGAATGCAGCCAAAATATCTCACGCATTTCTGTGCCACATATCATATATATAATATTTTACATTGTACATGTTAACACTTAGAGAGCGGCACAACCCACCAGCGCTGCCAGATGGCCCAAAAACGGCCAAGTCCGCAGAATAAAAAAGCCTATAATTCAAAATTTACTAGTAAATTTGTCGGTTCCTGTGCAAAAATTACATTTTCCTTTTTTCTGTACTTCTCAAAATTCAATAAAGTAGTACTGCCATCAAAAAATTTGTCGACAAACGCAATTAAAAAAAACTAATTCGCGTAATTTGTCCGCGAATTAGTATTTTTCAATTGCGTTTTCTGGGCACAATCCCAGATCGACCTCCCCTGCAACACTACCAGCGGCGAGAAGCAAGCATCAGCATCGTGCATCAGGTGGCTCCAATGAGGGCGGATGAACGATAATCAGAGGCGGCGATCCATCGTGGCCTAAACTGCAACGTCCCAAACAAATACTAAGGAATACTAAGGAAGGAATTTGTCCGGAAAAAATACCCTGCAACCCAGCGGTGGGTAGTGACACACTTAACGTCTAAAATTACATTTTGAGAGATGAGATGGCGACACACATCTCGCGCCACCACCAGAGGGCTCCTCGCCTCCAGCAACGTGACTCCATAGAGCGTGACGTGCGATGATGACGTCGAGCCACGGAAGTTTGCCTCCTATGTTACAAAAATAAAAATATTACGAAGACTTTTAGTGCAGAGAAGTGATTGAAATAAAAATAGAAAGCGAAGAAGTAAAAACCAGTAAATTCGCGAAATGTTTACCGAAAACGCTTCGGAGACTAACTCCATCATCAGTTCAAAAATTGAGAAAAAAACACATGTGCAATCGATATAAATATTATACAAAATTGTTTTTTCCGTTATATTGCTAATAAATTTCGTTGCTGAATTCATGAGATTAGTTACCAATATTTGTGTCAGTAATCCCGAAATTGAAAGTTCATACCCGACTCAAACAAAAAATTTGCATTTCACTTGATCTTGGCGAGCAAAAACTGATGCTTTGAGGCTTAACAGACTAATTTAATCATATTTATGGAAGAATGCCGTGGCACAAGGTTCACAACACAGCCGATTCACGCTGTGGTTTAACTATTATCTCAAATTTACATTTTAATTTTCAATAATTTGCAACTCACTGATATCTCGTTCAGAAAGAACTCAGAAGTGACGTCATCACGCACTACACCTCCGATAACGAACGCTCGAGCAACGTCAGCAACTGAGACTGTATCATCGTCGTACGTCGCTACAGCGTAGTCTACAGACGTGGTGCATTCATCGTCGGTTGCATATTCATCGCTGTTGAATTCAACGTTGTCATCGCTGTCTAATTCAACGTACTCATCGCTGACTAATTCAACGTTGTCATCGCTGTCGAATTCAACGTTTTCTTGTAGATTTACGTAAGCTTCGTGGATATCGTGGCCTTCTTGGTTAAGACCGTCTAGTTTGGTTGTAATGTTCGGTGCCTGGTAGCTGGTCTGGTGGATGTTGTTCCGTGGGTGGATAAATGGAGATTGAAAGTCAGATTGATATAAGCGGTTGCCAAAAATGTGGCTAGATTTAGTTGAATTTCGATGTAATCCTTGTGTTGATAATATTGTAATAATTGTGATCGTAAAAATAAGATTCATTTTTCTAAAACCAAAGGAAGCTAATATGGTATTACAGAATAACTCTTCGATACATAATCTGAAAACGAAGAACGATCAAAAACTGTGCATTTTCAACCATATTTAATTTTCATATTTTGAAACATAACGTTCTTACGAGTTTCGCAATACAAGGTTCACAACAAATTTTGGCAGAAATTATAAAAAAGGAGAACGTACAGAAATTCATTCCAGTGAAAAAAAAAACAAGAAATACAACAAAGTTTTTTAAGATTTGTGCTTTATTTACCACGTATATATGTATACAGAATTGTATACTGACGAAACCTATTTTGGGCGCACGTTATAACCATATTTTCACCACACATCTCTTTAACTTCACCTCTTGTTGTTTCTTTGTCTGCTAAAAATCTTACAATCGATATTTAACACACTTCTACCTGTCCAATCAATCTGAAATTTTGCACTCGTGCGTAAAGTCGGCGACAATGCATGAATCAGTTGACATAATAGGTCATTTAAAAAATTTTTAAATGTTAGAATAAATGTATGTAATTAATTGCTTAGAATAAAAAAAAAATTCATTGTTCATGCGTAACATCGGAGACATTGGCCTCTTTAGAAGTGTTGTCTTTGAAAAATATTTGTAAACGCCTATTATTTACATTATTGATATATAATACATTAAGCTAAATTCTAATTATATATATTATTAGCTATAAGCGCGCCGATTAATACACGACAACGAATCAATTTTATTTATCAAATCCATTGCCCGAATCAGGATACCTATAGTAATAGAGATATTGTTATCACAATAGTCAACTAACATAGAGTGATATAATGGTAATTATCACAATATCCTATCAAACCTATAGCGATTCAACGGTTGTTAACATAATAGACTATTAAATCAGTTCTAATCAGGCGATCTTAGCCGAAAAAAATTATCTGTTCCCGCATGTGAATTAATTTATGAATACTTAGATTATCAGTCTGCTTAAGTCGCAAGTTCACAAAGAATTTAAAATCAATGAAAACGCCAAGCGACATTCAAAAAGTTTTGGAGTCCAGCTCCATCGTCAGATCGACAATCTAAAAAATGAATACTATCAGTTAAAAATTAAAAATTTTAAGTCAGACATTAATAATATTTTTATTAATTTGTGCATTTATTTTTATGCAACTGGCTTTATTTTTCTGAATTTTTTTTTTATCAAAATCCCCTTAATAAAATCTGGATACTCTCATGGAGACGTGTTTCTGTTGCAGTAAACTTAGAGTTAAGAACCAAAATTTTTAAGGGAACAGTGGTGATAAGAAATGATCTCGACTTGACACTGCCCAGTGTAGACTGAACTGAGGTGCCTGCTGGTGTTCACAGCTCAACTTTTCCCGATAACCTGAGGTGAAAATAGACTCCTTGTTGACAGCCTGGCAGTGCGCCTCAAGCTTTTCACACATAAAAAATATAACTCAGTACTCGCTGCAGTGAGTGACAGAGAGCGCATTTTCTCGTCGACGAAAACTTGAGGTCACGGACGGACGGACAGACGGACGGATAGACAGACAGACGGACATGGCGAGCACAATAGTGCATTTTTTCCATAAATGAGAAAATGCGCTAAAAATATAACGGAATTAACGCTGGCTGGCCGGCCGACGCTGACCCATATGACTATGATACATTCTTTTGCAAGTAAGTCAAGCGTCTAGGCATCTTAAATGGAGACTAGAGAGAAAATGGATGAAAATTAAACTACGAGGTCAAACGAGTAACGAATCCATTTTGGGATGAAATAAATTTGATATAATTATGCGGTGAGGACACACTAAAAAAGATAGAACAGTTTCAATTCCTTGGCCCATAATCGGCAAAATAGTTACCAGATTGTCAACTTGCTGGTCAATATATATTATGTTCTGAGCTGGGGCGACTTACTGCTTATGTTGGTATAAATTCTGGCCACTTTTCAGTAATCAGTAACAATTTATTAACGATCGAATTTAGAATTTTTGTGCATGCGACCCTTTGCTGAAACGATTAGACGTGTCTCAAATTGATGGTAGAGTTGACGTCGATTTCCTGAGAATGGAGAGGTTTCTCGACCGCTTATAAGACCAATTAACGTCGACAAATATAACGCAATATTAATTTAGAGCGGAATAAAGATGTATTCTCTCGGTCGTCGTGTGACTCCTGATGATGACCAACGTCTCATTTGGTCAGTATATGCTGGTATAATTAAAGTAGCTAAAAATTACGAAAGCTCTGCATTTGTGAATTTATAAGACAGCGTTACAGGCATTATTCTGTATTATGTTCCAGCGTATATTTTCGCCCATATTACACACCCGATGGTCGTCCGTCCATCTCTTGCACGTTTATGATTTGTTACACGAGACGAAAATCTAAGGGAAGCTTTATTGCTGCAACGATTTATGATCGTGATAATCGAAGTGATATTTGGTGGCGTTGTGGCGACAGAAAAGATTTCATGGAGGCTCTTCAGGGCGGCTCTGATCTTGAAATTGTCTTCGCAAAGTTATCCTCGTTTGCATATCATGAATGTATTCAAGTGTTCCCTTCGATGTGATGTATTCAATCTTAATTGTACGTTTTATAAAATACTTATACTGAAATGCGTGTGTTCGAACACATTTATATAAACATGAAACATTTAGAAAACGTTGGAACAAAATATATATCTTTCCTGTTCACTTTTCATACCTGAAATAACCAAATTTTTGATAATTTCAATATTCTCAACAATTATACTTTAGGTTAGATGAACTCTCGGATGCCTCTTATAAAATATAAATCTTAGTCAGGGTGGCCTCAGGGTGCAGGGTGGCCTAGGTTACAGTTCAGAGTACCAAAATTAGCGCAGAGAGGCGCGGGTTCGGTCCCAGCTCTGTGCGCCAGTTTCTGGTCAGAATCGGCGAGGAGGCCGGGCGGTTAAGCACAGCAGAATTGTAGCAGTGAGTAGCGAGTTTGAGACCGCAAAATGCTGTGAATGTTCTGCGATGTTAAGAATCGGCGACAGGCCTACGGCCTACTAAACGCTGAAACCGCTATTATTATTATTATATAGTCCCCACCTCAATGGCGCAGAATGTCGCGTCAAAGGAGAGGAAGCCTTTTTTCCATAGAACCCATGCGCGTCCACGTGACCTGTGAACTAAACCCCATGGTAGAAGCTACTTTGAAATTCAACTCCAAGTAACATCAATTTTTCCTATCTTCTGCTGATCGAGATCAGTAAAAATAACCTTGAGGATTTCGCATTGTAAAGAAATGCTTGTGGTGAGCGTCGCAGCAAACTTGAACTCAAACGTACGTACATTGAGCGTCACGCTTCCTGTTCGCCATCTTCTGTCTGGTCCTGAATTTACGGATGTTTTGAATCACTCCGCTGAGCGCAGTCGTTTATACCTGCCAAGATAACTCACGCAGCCGCGAGGTCTGGCGCTGCTAAAATGTTCAGTCTCTCCTGCGCTGAAAAATGGCAGTTAACTGCAGAGTTTCAGTTTTGGTTATTTAGAATAATATTCTTTATTTGTTATTCATTATATTATTTATTTTTTGAATAGTTATCCAAGTAAATTGTACAGGCGTACTTACAAACAAACTATGCTGCTCACCATACTCAAAATTTTCTCAATTGTATTGGACAAAAAAATTATTAACACTTTTAAAAATAGATGTAACATCTAATGCCTTCCTATCAAGTACTTTCTTGAAGATTACAATGACAAATGGACAAATGCAAAAGGGCTGCTATATCGATATATGTGTTAGATAGTTTAATGTTTACGAGGAATTTTGCTCTAATCATCATTGGTGTTGCATCTTTGTAATCGCCACAACACAGTCCTCGCTAGTATCTGTATAATAATTGTTTCTTCCATTTTTCAAATGCAACGTTGGATATATTAATAAATGCCAATTTTTACATAATATCTTTATCTCAATACCCAGTATGGCTGTCATTAAAATTAAAAAAGCAAGATGAATTCTGGAAATGAATGGGCCACATTGCTCAATTACACTTTCGGCACGTAGCACTGATACCCCTTTTTGCCGGACCATGCTATGTCAGAATTACCCACGCATAGGCAAAAAATGCCTCGCAATTTTGACAAAGTCTTGCTCATTTCCTTGAGTGTGCATCCTGGAATTAATGGACACAGCAATGCGTACGTGTGCCCAAGCCCGTACTGAGGCACCAGGTCAGGACATTAATCCTTCCTAACGAGCGGCGGTAATGGCTAGGATTGCTGCAATCGCTCATTGACTAGCGGCTTGTAGCAATCGCTTACTTAGTTTTGACTGTTTTGACTTTGGCTTCCTGGATTATTTGTAAGTGGTCAGGTATAGGATTATACGAAAATGATTCTAACGCTACAATATTTGCGAGGGGTTATGTATAGGAATATGTGAAAGTGATTCCAACGCTTCAATATTTGCGAGGGGTTATGTATAGAAATGTGGAAAAGTGATTCTAACGCTACAATATTTGCGAGGGGTTAGGTATAGAAATATGGAAAAGTGATTCTAACGCTACAATATTTGCGAGGGGACAGGTATAGGAATATGGGAAAGCGATTCTAACGCTACAACATTTGCGAGGGGTCAGGTATAGGAATGTGGGAAAGTGATTCTAACGCTACAATATTTGCGAGGGGCAGGTATAGGAATATGGGAAAGCGATTCTAACGCTATAATATTTGCGAGGGGCTAGGTATAGGAATATGTGAAAGTGATTCTAACGCTACAATATAGGCGAGGGGTTAGGTATAGGAATATGTGAAAGTGATTCTAACGCTACAATATTTGCGAGGGGTTAGGTATAGGAATATGTGAAAGTGATTCTAACGCAACATTATTACAAAGTAAATGATCATGGAATCGGGCTTTCTAAGTATTTTCAATATTATATAAATTTGGTATTAGTGGAACTAAGAAGAAAGTTTATTTTTGAAACTCTTTTGAACCACGAAATTGCAAATTTTTTATGTAATATGTTCTAGTGAATTAAAACCACTGTTTCCATACGTCAGGAAAATCAACCACTCTAATGTTGTTTACTTTGACCTTACGCAATTTTTTTACGAAGAACATCTTCGATCTTTTTCAGTTTTATTCTTAAGTTAACGACGCATTTCAAAACACATTTGTAATTATAATGTAATAAATTAAGAATATAATTTTATAAAATATAATGTGTTTATAATATTATTACAAACCAATTTCGATCAACTCTTGCATTGATAGCCTACTATTTTGTAGGCCTATAGTAGGCTAATTATTGCATTGATAGCCTACTATGGCTAACAGCAGACATTGTCATATAGTCTCTTGATA